GCAGCTGTTTGTCTGCGGGAAGCAGGCGAACGGGAGCTTGAATTCAGCCGATCTGGGCTCGGTGTGTGTTCTGAGAGGCCCAGACTGTTCGCCCCAGATCCATGTCAGCTCAGCATTGCCTAGTGATCCTGAGCAAACAGATTTAGGCTGTTTACGACTCCCTATGCCTGCACAGCTGAAGAGGTCAGAGACTTGATCTCTCCGMGYCCACCGCCATGTTCGATCTCAGCCTTTTCACTTTCGTAGTGTTGAATTTTCAAATTCTTTTCATGTGTATCTGATCCCATTTGACTCTCCTAGAAGATATACGAAGTAGGTAATATATGAACACTAAGAGTTAGCCTGTGGATTTTATTATTAAAAGATACTTTCTGATATTACAAAGAGCAATTTCTTAAAGATCCACCGTATATATATAGAGAGCTTGGATAAGTTCATTAAAAGATGTAATTTAAGAAAACAGGCAAAAGGTATGAAGTGGCATTTTAAAGGAGATGATGTTCAACAGGTTGATGAAAACATAAAAGATATTCAAAGACAAAACAGAAAGATGCAAGTTAATCCTTTGTGATTTTTGCTTTTTAAAAAATGTTTGCAGATTTTAGAAGAGACAGTTACCAGTTCAGTAGAAGAAATTGAAGACACGCATCTCTCAAAAGGTTTTCATTAAGTATTTCACAATTTTGATATTCTTGATTTTTATTTTTAAAATCATAAATGATTACTCCTATGGTAGAGTTTCAGCTTGGACACAGTTTCTTAAGGAATGAGTTTAAGTGTAAATTAAATTTACTAGATAATACAAGATTGGCATAGAGAAATACATAGAAGAGTCAATGCATATATAATAAGTTCTATTTTCTCCTTCTTTCTCTGAAAACATGGAAAATTCACTAGTGCTTGAGACTGTTAGAACTTAAACATACATAGATAACAGAACCTGCTTTAAGTAGTGCCAAGACTTGGGGAGAAAAACAAATAATGGTTGACCTCCGGTTCATTCATTCAACAGATGTTTATTGAGCATCTATTATATGTCATGTGCCATTGTAAAATCTGGGAATAGAATGTAAACAAAGTGACTGATTATTTTTAAATTATTCCAAGGAATGTTATATTTGAGATTAAAATTTTTCATGTCCTATTGTAATTTAAATCTATATTACCCTTTACTTCCACCCATGCAGTATTTAGTTAGGGAGAGGAAAAGACACAGTGTCAGGAAAAATGTCCTGTGTCCAGGACTGTGACCTTTGTCCTTCTCAATACATCTGGTAGATCATCCAGTGGATGAGCAGAAAATAATACTTACTTAGGAGTGCACACAACAGCTAGAGCCTTCTGTGTCCCTAAAGACTGATTTATTTCTTCTAAGAGCTGGCTGAAGTAGGGGTTAGAATTATTATATTGATTTTTCAAAACTGACTTAAGAACTTAAAATAGGTACTAGAGATTTACCTCTTTACCTTTCAGATTCTGCAGCAGACCCGGTAGCCCTACCCAAAACACCCTTGTCATGATAATTAAGCTTCTCCTCCTGTCAGATCAGCAGGATGTCTTAAGAGGTTATTGTGGTTGGTAGTTTTGAAAATTCCTCAGGTGTCCAGTCCAGCCTCTTCTGTCCTACTTCAATTCCTTTCTTCGAGTTTAATCAAACAGCTTTGATATCTGTATATTTGTATATTCCACAGAACAGTCTATATAGAATATGACTGTTCTCATGGATTTTTTTTCCTAACAGGAAAAAGATAAAAGTTAGTTTGTCTGAAGAATCAGAAAAGGAAAGTGACAAAGAGAGAAGTCACAAAAGTAGCAAAATTCATCATAGATAAAAAGTATTGATTCCAGATTAGGAGGGGCAAAGGACATCCATTGGTCTTAGGTTCTGAGCTTTCATGGGGCAATGACCTAGTCCATAGTTGTCATGATGCTTAGAAATGCATGCAGTTAAGATATTTAACAGGTATTCTTGATGCTTTTTGATGTTTAATTATAAGAAAGTATTATGGAGGCTGAGGTTGTGGCTCACTTGCCTAGCATGTGGAAGGCACTGGGTTAGATCCTCAGCACCACATATTAGTAAAATAAAGATCCATTGACAACTTTAAAAAGTGTATTAAAAACTTATAAAAAAGAAAATGTTATGAACTCTATATTATGTTTATTTTCTGATAGAGTTAGATACAGAAGGAAATCAAAACATTATAGAGACACTGAGAGGCAAAGTAAGAGAAAAACTAAAAAATGCTAAGGTAAGATTTTTTAAATTTTTCTGTTTTTTTTTTTAATGTACTGTTTTAAATGAAACATGTAACATAATGACCTGAATAATAAGCTRACGCTCAGTTCACTTTTGTTTTGCTTTGTTTTTTGCAATGCTGGGGGTCAGACTCAGAGCCTTGCATACATTAGGCAAATCCTTTATCACTTACCCCACCCCTAGCCTCCATTGAGCTCCTTAGGTCTAAAAGCCTTTAGGTTCTTTCCTGTTTTTTTTTCCCCCCCTTTAGTCTCATAGCACTGCTGTGAGACTAAAGCAAAGACATGTTAAGTGATTTCGTCATAGTAATTCTATGTGACATTTAAGGGAAATACATACATATATTTTTAAAAAGAAAAATATTGAGAAGTCTTGATTTATTCATTTTGGACAGATTATTGATGAGCATAATCATGTTTATTTTTATAAAAATTTATTTTTGTTGTATTTCAGATTAACCAAGGGGAAAAATCTTCAACTGAGACGCTCATTGATTCTAAGATATATCAATGGTTTAAGGTGAATAACTTTTTTTAAAAAAGTTATTTAAAACAGCATTATGGATGTATACCCTTTCTAGAGAAAATTCACCCATTTTAACCCTATGATCAATGACTTTCATTTAACTTACAGAATTATGTAATCAACAACACAGTCTAGTTTTAGGCCATTTTCATCATTCCAAAAAGAAGTCCTATGTCCATTTGCAGTCATTCCCTATTTCTTCTTGACATTCCCTATTTCTTTTTACTTTCATCCTTAAATTATATTAATTTTTATTGTTAAAAGGTAAACTTAAGCACATTAAAATTCTGAAGAGTTTATTTGAGCATAAAGTATTTCATGAATTAGGCAACTCCAGACTCCAGTAGTTAGGGCTCCACCAAAGGGGCATGAGGGTAGAACTTTCACAAAATAAACAAGGCAAAGAAAACATTAAAGTGGAACAGTAGCCTTCACATCCTATTGAGAGGTTAGCTGGCAGTTTCTGATTGAAACTTGAGTTTCATTTTCCTAGGATATGACCATTCATGCTGAGTTGTGTTTCAGTTTACTCATAGAAATTCAGGGCCCTAGAGCCACCTTAGCCTTCTGACCTTCCAATTAGTTATCCTAAAAATACTATAGATGGTCCCCAAATTACAGATCTTGTTCTAAAATTCAGTATGTGATTGCATACTTGAAACATGAAATGACAAAAACAATTCATTTTGGGCAACTGTATTATTAAAAAGTATAGGTTAAGTAGCTGTAACAAAAAGATTTAAGTAAAATGCTTAAGAGTGAAGCTTTTCTTCTTTCTGGTGTTAACAATAAGTTGTTCAGGCTGTTGGGGGAGTTCTGCTGCCTTGAACATGTGCTTTTYATCTCTTAAATTCATGGCATGGCTCCACTGTTTTCATTTGCAAGCCAAAGAAAAGGGAGGAGCAAATAACCAAGGGATTGCAGGTTAATCTTGTGGGACAAGACATGCAGACTGCACACAGCCTTTCCAGTAGAGAATATGGGAGCAGTGTCTAGGCATCCAGCTAAAAATAGGTTCTGTTATTAGAGATAGGAGAAAAAAAACAATGATATACAGCTAGTAACTTCTGCCACAAGCACCTAGAGTATTTAAATCTGCAAATTTTAAAATCWAAGAATTGTTGTTGTTTGTTTGTTGTTGTTGTTTTATTTTATTAGTTTTAGGTGGACATAATACCTTTATTTTATTTTTATGTGGTGCTGAGGATCAAATCCAGTGCCTCACACATGCCAGGCAAGCACTGTACCTGAGTTACAACCCCAGCCCCCTTGTTTGTTGTTTTTAATTCATCTTTATCTCCTCCACAGTGCCTCTCTTGGATGCTTAATTAAAAACATTTTAACTAAGTTAGAAATAAAAGCAGATTAAAAATGATGTTTGTGCATGTTTTAAATTCAACATATGAATAAGAGTATACCTAAATTGGATTTAATTGAAAATAATAAAAACTATGATTAACAAAATGTTTGCAGAGGTTGAACCATTGAGTATAAAGAAAAGAGGTAAAAAGAAAGAGAAATGGGCTCAAAAGAATTTTCATTGTAAGTATTTGACAGTAGTTTTGAGATGAGCAGAGATGATGGAAGTAGTTTTGAGATGAGCAGAGATGATGGAAGTAAAAATACATATTGAGAATATATGCAGCATTGTTGCAAGGTGACACACTGAAAGATAACCTGACAGCTAAACTGTAGATACAAACAGGATATAAGATCAATTTTCACATTTTACATTTTCAAAAATTCTTTGATTCCTGGTAGCTATGAGTTTTACCTCATTAACAGAATTGATTCCTTTACAATCCCCTCTTAAAACAGTTTATTTTAATATGCTTCTGTGAGAAAGAAGCAATGTGATTTATATTTCAAAGAGTCAGACTTTACAGTATGGAAAAACAGGGTGTATTGATCAGCAAGTTTATAGTGAACACTACAGAACTTTTAAAACTTTAGTCACTTCTAATGGCACCATACTGTGCAGTGAGGTGGTGCTTGTCTGCATCCATGAACACTTGACAGTAGAGGGAAATTTGACCAGTATCAGCATTTTGATCAAGCTACAAGGCAAGGTAGTGCTCTTAAGTCTCAGACTAAAGTAAGAAGATAGTTTAGAAGGACAGAGATTTTGACTTACTTTAATGATTTTTATTGCAGTTACTAGAACATAAAAAAAAAAACTAAAAACTCATGAACTGAAAAGACTGGAAGCTAAATATAACTTGATAAAAATAATTCAGTCCTGCTGTTCTTTGCTTATTAAGCAGAAAAGGTCTTCATTTAAACACTGAACGCTGGTTTACTGTTGTTTAAAACCCACAGACTGAAGTCTTGTTGGATGAAGGTCTTTCATTTTTCATTCTGAGTGGTGAAGAAGGCTCAGCTTTGGACCAGTCGTCAGAGCAGGTTGGATTTGTTCCCCTCTCTCCCACATCCTTGCTATCAGGAAAAGCAACTCTTTCTTAAATGTATAAAATGTAATAGTTGGAGAGAGATGACATTTTTATTATTGTGCCTTCCTTTTTTCTTTGAAAAGATAAATTGTTCATAATAATAATAATACCCAAAACTTATTGAGTGCTTACTTGATACCCAGTGATATACTGTTTTCAAAGTGGACCCTGAGAGATAGGTTTTATTGTTATCTTGATTCTTGAGGTGAGGGAACCTGGGCGCAGAGAGCTGAGCACTGATAGAGCTGGGGAGCATAAGCTCTAAGCCCGTGTTTCCTTCCTTTGCTATTCTGCCTTCTAAGTGCTTCATGTTGTTCTCCATGATCTTTGTTAGCCATGATAGTTTCCCCAGTCTCCATCCCTCAGAGGCCAATCCTAGACCCTTCCCAGTCCCTCTCACACTCTTCAGTCTACTGCTGCTCTGTGCTTGCCCTTTCCTGCAGTATTAGTCTCACCAGTCTTTCCCTGTCCTCTCCTGACTTGTCACTCTCACTAGCCCCCCTATTTGCTCCTGTTGCTATAACTTTCTCCAGTTCCTCTGAACCTTCAAATCTCTCCACAGTTCTCTCGAGGCCCCCACCACCCTAATCCCACGTCCTAATCCCAGTCATCCCACCTAATGTCTTCTGACACCTCTCAGTCATTTCTGCATCCCCCAGGTCCTCCTTTCAATTGCTCTTGGACCCCCATTTCTCTTCTTACTTACTCCCCAATCTGTTCCAATTTTTTCTTTGCATTCTCCTCTAGTTTTTTCATTCCTTTTTCGTTAACTGCTTTTTCCACAATGAAAACCTTGTCTTTTAAAATTTTGAACAAATAAAAACGTTCACAAATAAAAATGTTAAGTATAAAAACTTAATGCAGAAAACCATGAGAAATAAAATGAAAATCATCTGAAACCCCACTGTCCTGAATTAAGCACTAATTGTCATTCTTTCTTATYTTTCTTGTACTTATGCCCATACACGCACACACACAGAGGTTACATAAACAACCATAGTAGTAAATGGCAGTTCCAATTTTTCAATAACTCAGCCAAACCTTGGTGTCATCCTGGATCCTCTTTTACTCACATGCCTTAAATCCAGTTCATCACAAATACTGTTGGYGCTACCTTCAAAGGTATTACCTGACTCACTTTTTTCTACCTTTATAGGTATCACCCTAGTTTAAGTCACCATAAATTATCTTCTGGATCATTGTCATAGTCTCCCTCTAAATTCACTGTTGCTCTTATAACCAGTTTTCCATACCATACAATGGTCAGAGTGATCCTGTTAAAAATCTGAGAAAGGCCATTCTGAAATAAAAGCTGAAGTCCTTACAGGAGCCTTCAAGGTTTACATGCTGTGTCCCCCTTAGTACCTCTTGACTTCATTTCGATTCTCCTGTTTTCCTCCCTCTCACCTAACTTCCCACCACATGAATGTCCTTCTGTTCCTCACAACATGCTCTTGCCTTATGGTCTTTGTACCTGTATATCTGCCTAGAAGATTCTTCCTTATCCTCATGCTTTATCCCATATTGTCTTTGGGACTCTGTTCAAATGACACATTATTAAAGATACTGTGTCTATATGTTATAATCTGTATGTACAAATATAGATAGTATAACACATATGTTATAGTTTGTCATACACATATCATAAGCTTCTAATCTTCTTTCTTTTTCTTAAATATCTTCAAGGAAATATGTCTATTCCACATAATTTTGGGTAATATTGCTCTTTGAATGATTAAAAAGAAAGGTTGGGGGGGTTAAGACCATATGGTCTGATAACTTTAGATTATCATACTTGATATATAATGGTCCAGTGTCTCTGGGCATTTTCCATAGGACAGGAGAGGTTTAAGTTAGTTCTATTTCAGCAGTCTTTCATTGGGCAATTGCAAAAATGGATTATTGAAAAATCGTGTTGTATAATACTAAGCCTTAAATTAATTTCTCAAGGAAGTTTCATTATAAGACTTTCAGCTAGCACTTGTCTGGGTGAGGTGAATCAGAAAGAAATATTACAGTAAAGTTCTAGTACAGTTATCTTCATATTGACCATTGGGGACAAGGATATAGACTTATTTTTTTTTTTTTGKTATTCAACAGAAGTCAGTAAATGATAGTTATTTCAAACACTTTTCCCTTGGTGATAATTCACAAAATGTTGCTGAGATCCAAGATGAAGATTTTATGGAAGAAATCCTTTTTGCAGATTTAATTGAAATAAAAGCTGCAGAATATGAAGATGATCAAGAACAAATCAAAAAACAGCAGGCAAATATTTTTGTGCCAAGTAGTTCCCCAGGTAATGTTCTTTTTCAGTAAAATATTTAAGTCATTAATGAGTCCATATTTAGGATAATCACTTCTTTGTATGCTGGATTAATAAGAAGTATTAATTTGATCTAAAATCATGTAAGTTTTCTGTATTTGTTCTTCTATTTGGGACTTTAAATTAACACCTAAGTTTTGTTATTAAGTGGCCAACCAGTGTAAACTGCCAAAAGGTATGATACCACGCATTTTAGAAGATGAAGGATTCTATGTTCAAAGAAAGCCAAAAATATATAAAAAGACCTGCAACAAAATGGAAAACCGTCTACTTAAATTAGAAAAGGCAAGTGTATCAGCTAAGAAGCTAAACCACTCATAGATAGTGTGGCATTTGTTTTAGTGAATGTTTAATTAATATATTTAAAAATATTTTTGATAGGGAAAATGTTGGTTTGAAGAAAGTGGAGAAATAATGTCATTACCTTCACCTATTAAACAGTCATGGAATTTCAGACTAAATATAAGCAAGGAATCTTTAAATCCAGCACTAAAGACCATATATAGGAAGGTAATCAGAAACAGTTTATTTGTAATCATGATTGAAATTCTCATAATATCAATTATAAGTTGTGGTTTTATTTTTCCCTCTAAAGATATTAAGTCTGGTTAAATTGAATTAAAATATTAATTGAATTAAAATATTACTTGGCCCTTAAGATTATGTTCTTGGTGAATATTTAATGATATGGGGAAGTGCTCAAAATAAAATGTAAAGTAAAACAAGCAGAATACAAAATTATGTATGATCCTAATTTGATAAAAGTAAGTAATGAGTAGTATTCAAAGTAACTACTAATATAACTTCTACCACTGTGATTACTCTTGCCTGTTAATTTTGCCTATTTCACATAAATAAAATCGTAAACTAAGTACTCTGTGTTGTGTGCAACAATAGTTTGCTCATTTTTTTTCCTAGGTAGAATGGTATGAAAAATACATTTATTTATTTACCTCTTCTGCTATTGATACAAGATGCATCCAGYATTATCTATTACTAATAACACTGCTGTGTAATTTCTGCACATGCATTCTGACTAATATATGTGTATGTATTTTCTGTTGGGTAAATATCAAATGCTGATTATAAGTTTGTATGTGTTCTGTTTACTATATAAGGCCAAACAGTTTTCCAGTTGACTATAGGAAATGATACACAAACTAGAAGCTTGTGAGAGTTCTGTTTTAAATTCTTGCCAATAGTTGGTATTGTCTATCTTTTAAATCATGCCCATTATGGTGTATGTAAGTGGTATTTCCTTAATGTCTGGTCGTTTTGTGCTTTTATCTGGGCTTTAATCCATTGTTGCCCTGATCTTTGTGCTTTTGGTATAACAAGTTATCTGTTTCAAGAAGCCTTTTTAAGCCTCTCAGTTAATCACTGCTTATAACCAGTGTGTCTGGGAGCTTACTGCCACCCAGGAGAATTCATTCCAGTGTTGCACAGTTCTCATTGTTTATTATTTTCTGTTATTTAACTAAAATCTGCCTCCTGATCACTTCTACTTAACTGACCTTGTTTGGCCAGCAGAGAACTCATAAAGTACTTCACCTGTATGATACCTCTTCAGATATGTAAAGCCTACAGTCACTTCTACCTTTAGCTTTTGCTCTCCAGTCTAAACTCACTTCCTTTGGTTGTTGTTAGAAATTCCACCATCTGTTACTGTCCTCTAGCTCCTGAGTACCACAATCAGTAAGTACTCAACAAGACAAAATCAAAGGCAAAGGTTTATGTCACTCTAATAGAAACCTAAAGCAAGTAGCAACATAGTTATTATCCATCTTGCGAGGAATCTGCTTAACCAGATRGGCATCTCTCATTTGTAATTTAAGTTGTTTAGAACTGAAGCTGTTTATCCCCCTTGGTGTTTTTTTTTTTCCTGGTGATGACCAGTTTACCAGTTTGTAACCAATTGACTAAATCCCTTAGGTGGAATCTGAGTTGGCCCTTACATAGAGAATAAGAACTTAACAAATATTAATTTTTAAAAAACAAGCTTTATGGCCATATTCCCTGAAATCCAGTAAGGAAGAAAGGAAGGTTCCCAACTCAGGAAAGAGTAGGGAGGCAGAGATTTAGCCACCATTCTGGTGGCCTACAGTCCTTGAGGATCCTTGATCCTGCCACTACAGATTTGGAGTGAGGCAGCACTTTTTCAGCATAACAGCAGCTGTACTACAATAGTATAGACTATAATACAGTACCACAGACCATGTAATTTTTAAAGAGAATAGGTTTGTTTTGTCTCATTGTCCTGGTCCAGAATTGAGGGACTACATCTGGGGATGATCTTGTTCGCAGTGTTCTCAAACGACCCAGATCATCACATGATGATAGGCAGGGAACATTCAAGAGATCTAGCCGAACTGTCTTTTATATTAGTTCCACTCTCAAGATAACCCATTAATCATATGAATGGGTTTATCCACCCATGAGGGCAAAATCCTAATCACCTCTTTAATGGCCCTACCTGATCTCACCTCTTAATATCTCATAGTGGCAGTTAAATTTCAAGATGAGTTTCAGAAGGGACAAGCAACATTCAAACTATAGAAGCATGCCATTTTATACCATACTAACCCAGGGAGAGGAGCTCAGTGCTCTCCTCAGGTGGATACAGTCATGGCTCTTACTGGGGGTAGCTATGCATTAATGGATTAGACTCCCTGTTAAGTAATTCCCCCACCTCAAATTATATCGAAAAAACSAATCACATGTATATTCAGATACACATGCTTAAATTCAAAATAGTGGGTGAAACATGCATGAATCATTTTGCATATAACTTAAGTTCTATAGACTTCAACTAATTTGGAACAATCTAGTACCCCTAGATGGAGACAGTCTCATATACAAAGAGTATTTGTTAATGTAGAATTTGCTTAAATGATCCAGATAACTTAGTGGAATTTTCCAGATGACTATCAGTAAAATGATTTAGAAACAATGCTTTAATAAGTCATCATTTAGCTCTGATACACAGATGAGCAATACACCATCATGTAACCAAACTCAACCCAAAAGTTAATATCTGTCATAATGTCCCTACATGAAATTTTCGTCTTATAATTTGAAAGTACAACTTCCACTGGTAAACAATAGTGAGGTAGATGGCAATAGACCATAGCAATATAATTAAAGTGCTGTAATCCAAATATATTTTAAAAATTTAAGCCATAATCAATTTCAAAGAAGACTGAATTATTGTTTTTAGCTTTTCCATATCTTTTGATTTTTCTACAATTGACATGTTTCTTGTAATTTAAAAAGGAATAGCATAAAATTAACATTGTATACACATTTTTCTTTAAAAGGCAATTAAATGTGACCTAGGAAGCTCTTTGAGGAGCAAAATGGAAGGTCACAGAGAAATGTACCAAATAGATCTCAACATTGTGGGTTTGCAATTCAGCCATCACCCTCTCTTCAATAAAGAACAAGTATTATGTGCTAGGCTGCTCCAATTTTATGAATGTTTTCAGGAGAGACAGCAACAGAATTTACCTCAGCTGCTGTATGAGAAGGTGAGAACGGCTTTTGTTTTAGTTATAGAGCTGAACATTTAATAATCAGAAAGAAAAAGATCTTAGTACAGATCAAGTTATTGTAGAATATTTTGCCTTAGCACTGTAAATATTGAACCAATTAGAACAATGGTTTGATTTCCATTTTTCTGAAAAGAAATTAGGACTAGACTGTCTGAAGAGATAGCTTCAGACATCCTGCAGAATATTTTACACATGTAAATAATTTACTTACTAATCAGTGGTATTGTTGGTCCTATGACTCAATAAGAATATTTTAAAAGAGTAGGACTTAAAAGAGTCATGTATTTCTTTTTTAAATATATTTTTAAAATCTTTTAGTTGTAGTTGGACACAATACCTTTATTTTATTTATTTATTTTTATGTGGTGCTGAGGATCGAACCTAGGACCTCACCCGTGCTAGGCGAGCTCTCTACCTCTGAGCCACAGCCCCAACCCTCATGTAGCTCTTTTATAATAAAATTTTTAGTAAAAATATCAGAGATAATGAATCTCAAGTCAAATTTAAGAGTCTTGACTTAATTCAAATATGATGGACGACTAATCCAAACAGTCATTTAATTACATTATGAAGGATATATAAATTTTGAAGAAGAATAAAAGGGGCTACCTACCAATTATTTTCGCAAACTTGTACCTCTTGTTTAAATTCTCTGCTGAGTTTCTTTCAGGAAAGGCAGTTTGATAAATCTCTTTCAACTAATGAGTACCTTTGAAATTAAATACCTACCTAATGAGATATTTATTTAATTAAATAGCCAATTCTGTTAGAGTCACCAAGACATCTCAGTAAGCTTGACATGAAACTACACCTTAATAAATGTTTGCTTTTAAAAAAATATTTGTTTAGTTGTAGATGGACACAATACCTTTATTTTATTTGTTTATTTGTATGTGGTGCCAGGCATCGAACCCAGTGCCTCACGCCTGCTAGGCAAGCACTCTACCACTGAGCTGCAACCCCAGCCCCATAAATGTTTGCTTTTTAAGATGTAAATACAAAAACCATAGGACTTATTTGAATTTTCATGTTAGGCATTGTGTAGGAAAATTTAATAGGTGAACACCACCAACCCTGGAATAAGACAGACATTGAATATTCTAACTTTTCACTTACTACAGCCATTGTTTTCATGAATGGAGGAACCAACTCTGAAGTTTAGATTCAGGTCACTAAAAAAGTGTCATGGTTTATAGATTTCTACTTTTACAATTTTCTCCAACAATGATATCTCTAAAGTCTAATTTAGCAATAATGATTTTATTTCATAGCATCCTATCTATTTATACATAGAGAAATTTCAGGTTTATTTTTTCATATAGTATGCATGGCTTTGCATAAAATAATAACCTCTTAGGATCATTGTTTGTAATATATAATAATATTAATGTTATTGATTCTTAGGTAATAGGAATTCTCTAAGAAAAACGATCATTCAAGGG